TGTGCGCATGTGTGTGTGTGTGTGCGTGCGTGTGAGAGAGAGCTGGGAAGAACTAGGAACGTGTGTGTGTAACGTGTGTGTGTGTGTGTAACGTGTGTGTGTGTGTGTAACGTGTGTGTGTGTGTGTGTGAAGAAGAGTTGGGGCCCTGTAACTGCTGGGAAGAACTAGGAACGTGTGTGTGTGTGTGTGTGTGTGTGTGTGTGTGTGTGTAACGTGTGTGTGTCAAGAAGAGTTGGGGCCCTGACATGACTTTAAAAGGAACTTTTAAAAGCAGAACTGCAAAGATAAAGCGTTTTGCCTTTTTTCAGAAAGAATGAGATGTTTAATATTCTCCTCTAGCAACTCCGTGTAAATGGCAAAGCTCTAGGGCTAACTGTAAGGAAAATGGAGTAGAGTGACAGTCAAGCTTAAACCTAAAACACTTCACCTTTTGAGGATTAAAAAAAAATAAGTTGTTTAATTTTACAGCAGTGGGGTGTGAACTCGGGGTCTGGGGCTTTCTACACAGGTACTCTACCACTTAGGCCACACATAAGCTATAATTCTTTTTGTCAGTCTGGGGGTTTGAACTCTGGGCCTGGGCACTGTCCCTGCGCTCTTCAGCTTAAGGCGAGCGCTCTACTGCTAGAGCCACAGCACCACTTCTGGTTTTCTGGTAGTTTTTAGAGATAAGAGTCTCAGGGACTTTCCTGCCTGGGCTGGCTTCGAACCATGATCCTCAGATCAGCCTCCTGAGTAGCTAGGATGACAGGCGAGAGTCACCGGCGCCCGGCCCGTAATTAATTCTTTAACATTAACACGTATGCTTTTCCTTGATTCCGGTGAATATACCCATTTTTAGCTGAGGAAAATGAGGAACGGTTATTTCCTTCATGCAAGTAAGCACAGGCTCCTCGTACACTGCACTGATTGTGCACAGGGTGCTGGTTCTAAGCCGGGGTCTCAGCCAGGCGCTGGGGGAAGGGGAGACGCCCCTGCACTCACAGCACTACGGATTGAGCTGGAACTCTTGCATTAGGGGAGCAGAGACAAGTCCGTCAGCAGTTAACACTAGGCCACCAAATGCAGAGTACTCCCTGCCTTTAAGAAGAGAGGGTTTCCAGAACAAGTTCTTTAGGTTTTGATGCTTCACAAATGAATTGCAATTTAAAATTTTAAAAATTCAAGAAGTCTACATAGATACACCAAGTTACTCCTGGATGTCTTTGTGTTCAATGTCATGGCGGCACAGGACAGATTTTTCAAAGGGAAGAAATGCTCGCTATTCGCAACACACTTTGACCAAGGCAGTTTCCGGAAGAATCAATGCCTGCGTTAGGTTAATGGCCACTAGCTTCATGTCTGGCCCTCAATTAAACTCTGAACTTCAATTGTTATTACTTAATTGACTGAGCTATATTTCACATCAACATTTCAGAATGACCTACCTTTTAAAAAATGAAAAATTACCCTGACCCAGTGCGCGGGTCTTCAGCCGAGCCTGCCACAACGGCACAGCGCACGCTACCTTCCTCGGGGCGGAGCCAGGCGCTTCCCCAGCTTCGCTGTTACTACGGGGCTTCCTGCTGCATCCTGCCCACCACGTGAGAAAGAACAGGGCAGATCCAAGCGAGGGACAGGGACAAAAAGTAAATATGATCTCTGAAATGACAAACAAATCCACAGAGACTGGCTTTATCTTAAGTGCAAGGGTTACAGTCTTATCAAACCCTGAGTAACCAAATTTAAGTGCTGTTGTGTTATAGTCGCTAACAGCGTTGTCTCTAGACATTCTAGGTCACTATGTGAAAACTTAATTCTTGTTTATTCTCACACAACGCAACATGAACCAGCTGACTTCCTTCATCAATACCTTGGGTTTTTATATAAGACAGGTATAGAAACCAGGATCCAACTGTGAGATTGGGTGGACGAAATTGAAGACATCAAATGAGCACTTCCCTCCCCGTGCACTGTGGAAAAGTTTTCAGGTCTTTTTGATGTTCTTTGATCAGGCTTTGAAATTGTGCAAGTGGATTACTATTGTCTGAAAACTGCAATTTATAGTGCATGACCCGGCCGAGCTTTGTCTCACAGCCATATTTGAAACAATAGCAGGAAAGCAAAAAACACAGCAGGAGCCAAGCTGTTCTGGTTGTTATTTAATTAATAACTCCATCTTCCTCATCTAATCTGTGGACCTCCTGAGAAGTGGGTGACTCACTCGGTCCCATGCACCTTCCTCACCACCGCGGCCTGGCTCTGTAGATGAGCCCTGCAGACACTGCCTTCTCCTCTCCTCTCCAGTTACGCTCACAGAATGCAGGTGCCCCAGGAGACCCAAGCTTCTGGTCATAAAGCAGGGACTCCCCTGGCAGGGCCCAGGGCCAGGGGCCATGGGCACGCGCACTGCTGATGAATAAACAGTCTTCAAGTCAGACCGATGTTCGGCTATTCTGACTTATCTCTGGGTCAGTTGAACATCACCCCGCTCTGGCCCAAGGAATCTCTAAAAATGTTCTGTTGGCTTCTTTGGCAAAACAATGCATTGAAGGCCTGGTCTAATCACATGACCTCAGCGAAAGGGGTTGTGGCACACGGGGGCCAGCTGTGTCCCCCGCTTCGGCACACGGAGGCCGCCTGGGTGCTGTCCTACCTCGGGAGATTAGGTCGGGCACCGTCAGCGTACATGCTAGGACTCACAAGCACTGAGATTATCATCCAGGAAGAAGAAGCAGATTACAAACCGGTCAAGACTCTCGGCCTCTGCAGAGAGAGAAAGGATCACGGGTTCAGAGGGGATTATTTCAGCTGGAACAGGTCTGTGCACAGGGTTCACAGGAGCAGACGTGCAAGGTGCTGCGGTTCTGAAGAGGACAGGGAGCGGGGTGGCTCTCCCAGCCGGCGGCGAGGGAAGGGGCCGCTCACGCTGGCACCAGGCATTAATTAGTGCGGCTGGCACAGGGCACTTAGAGATGACCTCATCACGCGAGCTCCAGGTGGCTCGCATGAGTCAACGCACCCCAAAGACCAACAAATTATCAAGCGGCTTGGAAAGTGAGCTGCACGCGCGCACGCTCACACACACTCACACACACACACACACACCTACGGTTGAAATGCTTTCTTCCAAAGGTCTAGCCTTCTCCGTGATCGCAGGAGTGTTCTGAAGAGCTGACATCCACCTCACTAGAAGGCAAAGAAGAAACACCACCCAGGAAGACTCACTGGTTTGCGCGTGGCTTCGGGGGGAGACGAGGGCAGGTGTGGGGTCGCCCTGAGCCGACCTCCGAGCCGAGCCGCGTGTTGGAGCAGGTGCGCTGGGCTGGACAGCACCTGGTGTGAGGTTTTATGCGCGGTCCCGCGTCCTGACGTGGCATAATTCGTCAGCACAGCATGCAAAGGCCCATAAACATAACTTGCTTTAACATTAATGTTCTAATGATGGCAGCAATAAGGAAAAATACGTCTCCATTCCGTGTCTGCGTTCCAGGAGTGATGCTTAAGATTCTGGAAACCAGAAAAGCAAACCAGCCAGCAACATGCAGAGGCCAGACACAGACTGTGCAGAGGCCAGACACAGACCGTGCAGAGCCCGGACACAGGCCGTGCAGAGCCCGGACACAGGCCGTGCAGAGGCCGGACACAGGCCGTGCAGAGGCCGGTGCTTCCAGAATACAGGGAAAGCCACGAGGTTCTGTGCTTCTCACTGCCCCCTTCTGTGGCACGCCCCAGTTCTACAGCAGGGGAGCAGTGGTCATGGTGCGGGCGGGCGGGGGGGGGTAGCGCGGGGGCCCCCGCCCACCCATGGGCCCCCCGTCCACCCACGGGCAGCGTCCTGCTGGGCAGCGTCCTGCTGGGCATACGCTCCCTGCTCGCCACACAGCAGCAGCGGGGCTCCGGGAAAACAGACAAATTGTAAGCCCTTTTTTAATCTTTTATTTGTGCACACACATCATAAATTTGTTCAATGTGAAAGTCCACGACAAGGGTTTAACAAGAGTTCTGACGTCTGCGAAGGTAGAGGAAACTTATTCCCCAGGACAAACAGCAGTGTGGCGTGGGCCTGGCCCAGCTTCTCGAGCGTGTGTGGAGGCCGCGGTGCGGGAGGGGTTCATCCTCTGTGCACTCGCAATACCCCATGTGAGACATCTCTCGGAAGCACAAGTCTGCCTGACACCGCTCTCGGGACCTCAGGCCGGCTCGGCCGGGACACACGCTGGTTTTGAACATGACACAAGTCCGAAGGAAAAGAAGTAGAGTTCTGCAAACCTTTTAGGTGCCCAATGACAAATTTGGCCTTTGGAAAGAACCAATGTGTACAACTTAAAAGTGTTTACAAAACTTATTAATATTAGTTCTAAAGTTATGTACTTAATACTATAAAAGGCATGTTTTATAAGTATGGGCGACTATGCTACTAAACACATGTTCTTATTTTGGTGCTGATACAGGGACTTGAACACAGGACCCTGAGCTCTGTCTTTTTCGATCAAGGCTGATGCTCAACCATGGGCCAAGGTAAACTTTGGGGTTCTTACTGGCTAAATAAAGATAAGAGTCTTGTGGACTTTTCTGCCCAGGCTGGGAGTGAATAGTGATCCTCAGATCTCAGCCTCCTGAGCATCTAGGATTACAGGTGTGAGCCACTGGCGCCAGGTGCCAAGTACATTTTCTTATGTAGCTTAACTTTTAATTTTCATTCTTTCTTTTTTTGGGGGGGGTCCGGTCGTGGGGCCTGAACTCTGGGCCTGGGCGCTGTCCCTCAGCTCTTTAGCTCAAGGCTAGCACTCTACCACTTGAGCCACAGCGCCACTTCCGGCTTTTTTCTTTTTGCTTATGTGGTGCTGAGGAATCAAACCCAGGGCCTCAGGCATGCAAGGCAAGCGCTCTACCACTGAACCACCTTCCCAGCCCCTAACTTTTAATTTTCTAAAGATAGGTTTATAGTTGTTTTATTGATGTTTTTGCTGTTGACTGGTGATAGGTCAGCAGTAACATTAAAGCAAATAAACTGAGGTGAACAATCACGAAAATCTCTTTTATTGTGGTTATTTAAAAATTGCTGTTTATTTTTGGCACATAATTCATTCAAAGCAGAATATTTCTAATGTCTAAATGATTTGAGTGTTACATAATTAAATGATATAAAATGCAGATACAAAAGCAGTGTGTACAGAGCACATGTCTAAAAAAATTACTCATAAAAATGATGGCTAAAAGGCGTGGACACACAGCCCTTGGAAGCTAAACCAGCCATCGGGAGCAGAGGAGCCCGGGTTCCAGACACAGTGACGTCGGTGGCGTTGGAACAGGAAGTATGAAAAGATGGATTCTCAGCCAGCGCGCTTCTGCAGCGACACTTAGTGCCCGGAGTCGGAGGCCTCCAGCCCCGCACGGGGCACCAGCGAGGCCCGCAGGCGGGAGCAGAACTGGGCCCGCCGCCACGCTCCAGCTCTCCTCCGCTTTTGCGGGGTAATTGCATGAGGCTGGGGAACGTAATTCCATGCTCATGGTACCCGTGAATGCAGGTGAAGAGAAAGGGGGAGGGAGAGAGAATGAATGGGCGCTTAGAGGGGAAAAAAATAAGGGGGTGATTTGATAACTAGGAGGCGAATTGAAAAATCACACCTTTCAGCCTCCACATTCTTGCTTTTGTTGGGTACACAGGAGAAGCCATGCGGAAGGAAGGAAGATTATGAGTATCTATAAACTAACTGTCTGACAGAGACAGAAATGCTGATAATGAGTGGGCTGTGTCTGTAGTTCTCGGCGGCTCACACGGGCTAGGGGAGAAGGGAAACAGAAACTCGCGATACGTTTGTCTGGAGGGGCGGCCCTGCGACCGCGGAGGCCAGAGTTCAGCCGAAGTTCAGGGCAGACGCTGCCAGGAGTTTACGGAGCAGGAATTCGAGATTGCTTCCGGCCCCGGCTCCCCCGGCCTCTCTCCGGGCTCTGCGGGTCAGTCGGTGCCGTGGCACAAGGTGACAATGTCCGTGGGGAAACAGGCTTTGAGCAGGATGCCCCTCTCCCGGTTGCAGTCCAGCTCCTGGATAAATCCGTACCAATAGATGACCAGGCCCGGCCCAAACCTGCAGAGACACCAGAAAGTCACATGCACACAGGCATCCAAGGAGCTCCACTGCGGCATCCGGGGCCCGGGGAAGAGCCGCACGGCTGGGCTGCGCCAGGGTGCCCACCCAGAGCCCGGCGTACAGCACAGAGGGCACTCGGGCCGAATGGCAGCCATTTCTTTTCCTTCCAGAACCTGAAGCGTTTCGGATACAGAATTACTCACCACACCTTTCAGCGAGGACAGAGGCAGCGGCAAGCTGGGGAGCTCACGCCACTCACACTCGCTGGCATTATGCCTTTGTTTTTAAAATGAAACGTGCCAACTTCCAACGAAGACGCAAAAGCACGTTTGGACAGCCAGGAGGCCCAGTGCATGCGTGCAGCCCTGGTACTGGGGAGGCTGAGGCGGGAGGACCCGGGGTTTGTGGTTAGTTTGGGCTGCATGACGAGACACGGCTTGCAAAGGGGCTGCAGGGCCCTCTCTGGCTCCAAGGCTCTCTTCGAGCATGTCCCTTCCAGCCCTAACAAGCAGCCCGCGGCGCGCTGGGCCCCCGCCGCGTGGCCCGAGGCTCCGCAGCACAACCTCACTGCAGAGACAGCGGGAAAGCCGGTCTCAGGCTCTCACAGACACGAAGATTAAAGTCTTGTCCATTTGTGGCAAAGCACAGATGAAGGCCAGCCCTCCGCCCCAGTGTTTCCTCGCCGCGCCTCCGGACGATGTCGATTTTGTCAGCAGTGACTGATCCCGCTGGGTGCACGCCGGCTGCAGCCCCCAGACCACTTCACCCGGCAGGAAGTTGAGACCTCTCGGCTGGGTTCATAGAGACGCAGTCACTATCAATCACGGCGCACAGAGATGTTTTGCACATCAGTTTCACATTTTTCCTACCCGGAGTACTTAATTAAAGGGCAGCTCTACTTTTGGTGTAGTGTTGCAGGAATTTTACAGTGAAATCATAAATTATGAATGTTGGGTTAGTAAAGGGATGTCTAAAAACAGAACCGCTCTCTGTATTCTAACCCTGCAGCAGGCTGAACTGGGCTAGGCCAAAAGCTCTTTCCGTCTATGATTTATTATATGCTCTGCTGTCCTTGCCAAAACTAACAGCACAGGACGGGCGGGGAGAAGCAGTGTTCACAGGAACAAGTTCAGCTGAATGTCACGGGCTGGTTTACTTGGGGACTCACACAAGATCTGCGGGGACGGAATTGTGAGACCGGCTCCTCATGTGCACACACTGTGGGGAAGCGGGAGCCAGCCCTGGGGAAGTCTTGAGGCTCTGGGCCCTTTGGCCACGCCCTCTCTTCCAAGGCCTCCCCGGAGAGGAGCTTCTTGGAGTCACAGGGGCGAGGTTGCCAGCACACAGGCTGCGACCCTGGTTCTTGGATGTGCATATGCTCACGGCTAGGTAAGAACTTGCTTCCACTCAGCAACGGGTTTCCTATGAACTTGTTCTTGTTCAGTACTGGAGCTGAACCCAGGGCCTCTAGCACCGAGATACCCCTTCAGCCTCTACTTGGCAACTTTAGAAACAATGGCCCAGACATGTGGTATCTTTTTCTTATAAAGAGCTCTATGATTTGTCCCAAATGATCTCAGTTATCAAGACAAGACTGCCGAGAGCCAGAGGATGTGGCATTTCTGTGGACCGTGCTGGAGAGGCCTCACAGGGCCACGGCGTCCATGGATCCCACAGGAAGCGCAACACGGAATTCCTTCCACTGGAAACCGGGGAGACACCGAGTCCTTGAGAAAGGCCCTGACATCCCCACAAAGGCGACAAAAAAACAAATCACGAAGAACAGAAGAACCTACGGAAATCATCAAAAACAAGCCAAATATTTTTAAAGATTTAATACCAGGAAAACACAAAGAGCAACAGAGCGCGCGCACAGCTAATCACAGACACAGGACCCGTGCCCCGCCGCGCTTGGTGGAGACGTCCGTCTGGGGACAGGTGACATGCAAGGACACGGACTTGTCTCAGCGGAGAGACAACAGACGGACTCTGGCCACCCCAACGCGCCTGGCCGGCCGTGCACCGAGCATTCCGTGCGATGCAAAGCCGCGACACAGACCTAGGAATGTGCCAGTCACGTTTCCCTGTGTCTCACGAAACTCAAAATCTCTCACTGAGAGAGTGTCTACTGAACTGAACACAACTCCCCGCAGTGAGCAGAGGCTGACAGAGACGCTTTCAGAGTCTGTGGGCTTTGGGGGACAAATAATCGGGCGTGTTCAGGGTGACAAGTCTGGAGACTTAGCAGTGGAAGAGGACCTGGCCCGGTTTCGGCGGCCCGGCTCTCACGCCCCGCCGGGCTCTCTCCCGCGGCCCGGGGCAGAGGTCAGAGGTCGACTGAACCTCCCAGCAGCTCACCTCTCACATTACAGTCAACCCCTCCCGCATCTGAACGCACAGAGGGAACGTTCTGGTTGGTGGCTGAGCTGACGGAGCGATGCAGAGCGGCGGCCTCTCCTCCTGCGTGGCGTGGGCGCTCCGACGCCGGTTGGGCGGCTGTGGTGCCAGGGGCGAGAGCGAGGGCACAGGGAAGCCAACACTGTCCTGGGGACGGTCGGGGGAGTGCGCCCCAGCAGCGCTGACAGGATTGAAGGCCTGCTACTTCAAGTCCTTCCTTTCCAGCCCACCGTGACACTGCAGTAGCCGACTAGCACAAAGACCACGCTCCGATTCAAGCCTAAAACGAATCCTCCTTCACACATGCAGACCCCTGGTTTTTCTCAGCCACAGACAATCCCAGGATTTGTGGGAGAAGCGGCTCCTGAACAAGATGGACAAGTTAGGCAAGTCCTGCTTGCTGAGTCTCTGTGTTTTCACCGTAAGAGAGTTGCCTGGCTCCCAGACATCATACTGACGCCCGGCCTAGCTGCCGAGTAAGATGAAGAATCTTCCATGTTCTCGAGTTAGGAAGGTAACATGGTGGTGGGGTTGGAAGGGGTGGGCACGGGGCGGGGGGGGGGGGGAGGTTACTACGGGTACAGCCCTGGGCCGGCCGGCG